GAATTAGTAAGACTTAGCAAAAGATTGTATAAGAGGAGATGAGAGTGAGGAGTTGAGGACCACACAGGTTGTAAGCCTGTATGACCTGGAGGATGGTAATGCCTTTGATGGTAAAAAGAAAGATAGAAAAATGGGGAAGGTTTTAAAGAAAAAATAATTAATTGAGTTTTGGACATGTGGAATTTAAGATGTCCCCTTCAAGATATCTAGTAGACAGATGACCAGAGATCAAGAGAAAGATTATGCCAGGATAAAAAGATTTGAGATTCATCTGCATAGAGATAATAATTGAATCCATGGGGAGTTGATGAGATCACCAAGTTAAATAGTATAGAGAAAGAAGAGTAAAGGGCTCAGGACAGTTTTGGGGAGGTACCCTCAGTTATTAGATGCAGTTTATATGAAGATCCAGCAAAGGAGACTGAGGAGTGGTAAGACAGGTAGGAGGAGAACCAGAAGAGAACATCATCACAAAAACCTAGGGAGAAGAGATGATCAAGGAGAAGGGGTGATACACAGTGTCAAAGACTGCAGAGAGGTCAAATAGGATGAGGACTAAGAAAAGGACATAGATATTAAAGGTCAAGTCACAATCTGAAATAAAATTTTAGAGCTTTATTATGCTTAATTTCTATTTTTTCTCCGTCTATCCAAATACCAAAGCCCAGATCACATTCTACCTCTATGAACCTTCATTAACCATTCCATGCTCTCTTCCCTGTCTTGTGAACATATACAGATTTTCTTTTTAGTGTATGCCACTTTTTCTATATAAGATAAGTGATAATATATAAGTATTGTCTAAGATTTATGGAAGAATATATGTACGTATTATATAAAATTGTATGTATATAAAGTACATTTATTTGTACAATTATAAGAAATGTAATTAAAACAAAAACTTGCTAAAAGTCCCCATTCACATAAATGGCTTATTAAAATAACTAATTTTACCAGAGAATCAACTAAAAAAACTAGTTGAAATAATTAACAAATTCAGCAAATTTTCAGGCTATAAAATAATCCCACACAAATCACCAACATTTTTATTTACTACCAACAAAATAGAAAGAGAAATTCCAGTTAAAATAGCGGCAGACAATATAAAATACTTGAGAATCTACTTGCCAAGACAAACCCAAGGATTATATGAACACAATTACAAGACATTTTTCACACTAATACGCATATAAACTATTGGAGAAATATTAATTGCACATGGGTAAGCCGAGCCACTACAATAAAAATAGCAACTCTACTTATTTATTCAGTGCCATACCAATCAAACTATCAAAGAATTATTTTATAGAGATATAAAAAATAGTAACAAAATTCATATGGAAGAACAAAAGAATATCAAAGAGAATCAATGAAAAAAATGTGAAGGAAGGTTGACAAGTACTTCCAGATTTCAAATTATATTACAAAGTGGTCATCATCAATACAATCTGGTACTGGCTAATAAATGGAGTAGTGGATCAATGGAATAGGTAAAGAATACATAGTAGTAAATGACCATAGTCATCTAATGTTTGATAAATACAAAGATACAAGCTTTTGGGGCAAAAACTCACCATTTGACAAAAATTACTTGGAAAGCTGGAAAGCAGTTTGCCAGAAAGTAGGCATAGACCAACATCTCACACAGTTTACCAATACAAGGCCAAAATGGATTTAGACATAAAGAATGATATCATAAGCAAAATAGGGAAGCATGGGAAGATGTACCTGTCAGATCTATGGATAAGAGAAGAATTTATGACCAAACAGTAGATAGAGGAGATTATGAAAAGTAAAATAGATAATTTTGATTACAAGAAATTAAAAAGCTTTTGCACAAATAAAACTAATGCAGCCAAAATTAGAAGGAAAACACAAAACTGGTGGAAATGTTGCAACCAGGTCCTCTGATAAAGGTCTCATTTTTCAGATATGTAAGGAACTGAGCCAAATTTATAAAAATAGGAACTATTCCCCAGTTGATAAATGGTTAAAGGATATGAACAGGCATTGTTCAGAAGAAGAAATCAAAGCTATCTATACTAATGTGGAAAAATACTTTAAATAACTATTGGTTAGAGAAATGCAAATTTTAAAAAAACCACCTCACACCTATCAGATTGGTTAATATGCCAGAAAAAGACAATGACAGTGCTGGAGGGGATATAAAAAAAATAGGACACTAATGCATTGTTGGAGTTGTACACTAGTTCAACCATTCTGTAGAACAATTTTAAACTATACTCCAAGGACTATAAAACTGTGCATACCCTTTGACACAGCAATACCACTACTAGGTCTGTATCCCAAAGGCGTCAAGGAAAAGGGGAAAAAGACATATTTCTTTAAAAATATTTGCAGCAGCTCTTTTTGTGGTGGCAAAGAATCAGAAATTGACAGGATGCCCATTAATTGGGGAATGGTTGAACAAGTGATGGTATATGATTATAATGGAATATTATTGTGCTATAAAAATGATGAGTAGGATGATTTCAGAAAAACCAGGGAAGACTTATGTGAACTTATACAAAGTGAAATAAGCACAACTATGAGAACACTGTCTGTAGTAACAGCAATATTGTAAGGATGATCAACAGTGAAACACTTGGCTATTCTGATCAAGACAATTTCAAATGGTTCATGATGAAAAATACTGTTCACCTCCAAAGAAAGAGAACTGATGAACTCTGAATGTAGATTGAAGCATACTTTTTGAAATTTTGTATTTATTATTTCATTATGTTTGTGTTTTCTTTTGCAACATGGCTAATATGGAAATTAAAAATAAAATGACTAACTTTAACTGGTAACAATGAGTAATCCCAAGGTAATGTTAACTTACCATATTTTAAAGAATATATTTTCTTGTTGAAAAATTTTGCAGTTTTATATTACCACATACATGTTTTGTTTTCGATTGTGCAATCTTACTGCCTATGCTAATCATTCTCCCCATAACAAACCCAAATGAACCTTACTTTGGATCACTTAAATTTTAATCCCTCTTCTCTCTCTGTCTCTCTGTCTCTTTGTCACTGTCTCTTGTCTCTCTCTCCTCTACACCAAAGGGATTATAGGATTATGTATATTTATACATATTATATAAATACATGTACAGATATGTGTTTTATGCTTACAATATATAAATGGAATGTGTATATATACATGTATGTCATATTTATATACATACATACATATATATACATATATATATTCTTTTTGATACTGAGACTCTAGAATTTGGCATCTGTGCAGGTGATGCTAGGATTCTTCTGTCAGCATTCAATATATTCTATTGATTGACACTTTGCCCTTTGTTTCTATTACATATGCAAGGCATTTTTATGATGTCATTTACCAGAATTTGTTATTCACAATCCTTGAAGATTTGGTGGGCATTTTTTCAGAGAGACCAATAATTCTCAGATTGTTCCATCAAGTTTTCTCTTCTAGCTATGCTTTCTAATTTGTAGAAATCTGAAATTATCTTCTAGCTTTATCATTTTTTTAAAAAAATATTTTTCTGTTGTTTGTTCTTTCATTTCTACATTTTTTTCTGCCTGAGGTACTCTCTACCCTAGAGAAAACACTACTTTTAACACCTTTTCCACATTGTGAATTCTTATGGTTTTCTTTTTAACTCACCCTTCTGTGATCTTATTTCCACTCCTGCATGTGTGAAATATATCTATTTCTTTCTCTGAATATAAACTACTTTGGAAATTTAAAAATATGTCTATCCTTATTTTTAGAAGTATTGTTTTTGTTTCTGCAGCATTGTCTTTGTCCCAGTCTTGCCTTTTCCTTGTGGAGATTTCTCTTACCTTTTATATTACTCTACAATATTTAATTATTTTATGGGAGGGAGGGATCTTTTATTTTTTTGCTTGAATTTTTGGTTTTGGTCTTTCTATTAGTTTTCAAATGGGGGTTTTCCTTCTTTCCTTGCCTCCTTTTTGTTGTTATTCTATTATTTTAGGGTCTACATTTGTCATATCTTAAGTTAATGCAGTAGAGATGAGCTTTGTCACAATAATGCATTTTACAATCTTGCTCTTAAAGATTTAATTTTTAAGAAATAATAATTTTCTAAATGGAACATATAGAGAAATTATGTTTCATGTGTTAATTTATCTTTAAAATTCCAAAGGATATAATTTGAATTTCAAACCAGCACAAAATCTGTGATCCTCACAGATTTTCAAAGTAAAATATAACAAATGGGAATTTTGCAGTCAAATGATAACAAAGAAAGTATAACCTTCTTGTAATCCTTGGTGATTACTCTCCCCTTTGAATTATTATCTATCCTATATTTTGAGACTTAGCAAATGCAACTTGTATTATTTATCCTTGAGCATAATTAAATTATAAGTTGCTTGAGGAGATCTAATTCTCCTTTGTATCTTTTAGGACAACTCCCTATACATAGTGAATACTCGATAAATATTAATGATCTTGGAAATAAATAATTATTTATTAGGGTATATTACTGGAGGGTTGATTATAACAATAATCACCTTTATTATGTTATTTTCTTACCAGCATAAATTTATATTTCTCTTATTTTTGACAACGGAAAAAGAGCACATAACAAAGGAATTATGTGTTATCAAAGCAGACGTAAGTAATGAATTGGAGACAGTATAGATCAAATGAGATAATATATACAAAGTGCTTAATAAACCATAAAGTGTCATATAAATATTAGCTAATATGATTAATACTGTTATTAGTGGAAAGATCATCGGATTCAAAGTCTACAAACCTGACTGAAAGTCTTGGTTTAGCCATTATCTAATTGTGTGGCCATAAGCAAGCGCCTTCATCTCAGTTACCCCACCTGTGAAATGGGGTGTGACCACTATGATCCCTTCTGTCTTTAAATCCTATGATATTATGATTTCTTCAGGCTTATAATCTCATGTAAATTTATACAAAATGTAATTTTTATTTTCTCACACCATGAAGTGCGAGGAATATCACTTACCCTCAACACCATAGCATTAGTATATCCTATGTCATATACTATTTAAATGGAACTTGGACTTCGTACACAGAGAAACCACATAGATATGCCACTTTTATTGTTTGTTCTATTAGATCTCCTCCTACAGGTATGTAGCTGAGGGAAAAATATTGAACTAACCTATTCTTCAATTAAAACCTGGACTGAAAGTAAGTCGGACAAGGGAAGTAATCTCACCCTTTAACTTCCTGAAGCAAAGTTGTAAATTATATTACTTCATTACTTACATAAGTTCAATAAATCATCTTTTTTTTTTTAATCTAGCTAGGGTTGGGATTTATGAGTAGAACTGAACTGAGAAATTCCACTTCCTGAACACTACCTCCTATCCTTTCCCCTTTCTCACTAGCTCATTCCCACTAAACTTGCTATGTGCCCTTAATATGACTTCTATTTTCTTGGTTCCTTCCTTTTCTTTTAGTCTGTCTTTCCCCTTTATCTATATTCACCCTTATTCATATGGACTATTTGTTCCCAACCTTTGGTAGAGCCTTCTGAGCTCACATTGGTCTGATCAGCCACATTTGGATACATTGGACCTTGACCCCAACATAGTAATATTATTTTGGGTCCTTTTCAAGAAAAAAGGACAACAACCAACCAACTATTCACTCGACTCAGTGGTCTACTAGTTAAATGATTCATAGTTACTATTCTAGAATTCCTCATTTCTTTTACTTTCCACTATTCCAAACCTACTAATCATCTGCCAGGAGCCTCATGAGTTTATTTCCAGAAGAAGGGAAAGGTCCTTATAGTGAAACTAAAGATTTCTCCAAAGATAACAGGAAGGCATAATTCTCTCAATATTCTAGATATTTTTGACCTATCAGATTATCATGATATTTCTGTCAAAATATTTTTCTTTCCCAAATAAATTCTGCTACCATATGTAGTATCAACACTAAACAGAAGTCGTCCATAATGAATGTTCATTCATGGTCTCACAAACCTATCAAATTCTGAGTGGGGTGCAGTGCAAAACTTACAGAAGTTTTTCGGAAAGTTGGAGCATTGTCATTTTCATCTCTAATGTCAATAGTCAGTGTTGCTGTACTTGATAAACCAAAACTCTGGCCAGCCATATCTCGTGCTTCAACATGCAATATATATGTAGGACATGCCTGGGGAAAAAAAATATCAGAGTCTGCAATGTTCCTCATTCCTGTAATAGACAAATCCTCAAAGTCAGCATGCACATCCTCTAAAGTAAAATTGCAACATTTTGGGACAAATAATAACAGCTAGCATTAATATAACACATTAAGATTTGCAAAGCCTTTTCCCCATATTATCTGATATGATCCTCACAGCAACTTACTGAAATAGCTGTTATTGTTAACCCCATTTTAGAGGTGAGAAAATTAAGGCTGTGAGGTTAAGTAATTAACCTAGAGTCACACAACTAAGTAAGCATCTGAGGCTAAATTTGAATTCAGGCCTTTCTGACTCCAAGCCTAGCACTCTACCCATTGTACCACTAAACTGTGTTACAAATGTGAAGGTCAAGTTAATCAAATGTAAGTGTAACAACAAATTCAAAAGCAATGTTTTAAAATCCATTTGTTAGGTCAACACAGAACTCTCATGGAGAAAGGTTTGATCTGCTTGCTAAATAGGGCGATGAGAAAGTACTTCTCCATTCTGATCTTAAGTGGTTTTTGAAAAAAATTAGGTGACATTCAATTTATTGCTCCTTCTTTGGAGTTTCCTACTTCTTTGGAATTGTTTCAGTCTCAATTATGCATTTTCATAGGCAGAAGCTAGGTAACTTAGCTATTTCCTTTATTTTTCCACTTAATTTAAAATTTCTTAGATTTTTGCTTGGGTATTTTCATGTCTTACATTTTGTTTTGCCTCCTATCTTTACTTTCTCCATTAAACAATGCTATCCCATTCTGACTTTTTTTTTTTTGGTGAGGCAATTGGGGTTAAGTGACTTGCCCAGAGTCACACAGCTAGTATTATGTGTCTGAGGCCAGATTTGAACTCTGGTCCTCCTAACTCCAGGGACGGTGCTCTATCCACCTAGCTGCCCCCCAACTTTTTTTCTGTTTCTGACTTTTTAAGAGAAGATAAAGCAGAAAACTTGATCATATTTACCATTTCAGTTTGACTTTCTGTCACACATATTTGCTAAAATTTACATTAATAAGTGTACTTTTTTCAGTTTTACCTTTTCCTAAATTTCCCTTTCACTTTGAACATAGAACCTGCTTGGTTTTTATCTTCTGATTTTTTATTTTTGAATCTGATGTTTTTGTTTCATCGCTATTCCAAAAACTTCCTTTCCTGGCAATTGGGATTAAGTGACTTGCCCAGGGTCACACAGCTAATAAGTGTCAAGTGTTTGTTCTATCCACTGCACAACCTAGCTGCCCCTAAAAACTTGTCTTTTTAGATTGTATAGTTTATCTCCTATCTTCCAGAAACAGTGGTATAATACTGGTACAACCTTTCATCTCCCCTTTGATATCTCTTTAAAGTTTTTTTTTAAAGTTCCTTGCCCATTATTATGAGTGAATTATTAATATATTAAGAGGATCAATCTAAACTCATATAACCACCAATTTTCCCAGATGAATATATCAATTTTATGAAAATGACTGATTTCCACTATGGATTTTATAATTTCAGAAAGAGAAACTGAGAGGTAAAAGGAGAGATCAGAGAGAAAAGGTGATGATGCTTATGACAGTGACCTTCCCAAGTCATCTATATCCTTCCAAACACTCTAGAAGTATACAAAAAGGACTTCAGAGAGCAGGCAACAAACTTCCTAGCAAACAAATTCAGTTACTCCAAAAGCAGAGGCTCACAGAAGTCAGATAGCCATCCCAGTTGTGTTATTGCTCATTATATATAGATAGCATTGCTCAGGAAACTGGAAAATAATTTACTTCTCTGTCAGGTGTCAATATGGTAGTGATCACACCCGTATCTGGATGGATTGCAAAATGTTTTGGGTTTTCTGGAATCTGCTTCAAAATGGTATATTTCAGACGAGTATGTAGTGTATCAGGCTCATCCCTGTCCGTGGCCACCACTTGTCCTACTGACGTACCTGTAGGGATAAATCAAATTCTCTTGAACAATTGAATGAGTGATGAAATTTAATATTTTTTGATAGAGATGTGGTTATAGATAATTCTTTCCAAAAGGCCAGGAAAAGAAGAATGTTTTTACAGGATGGTTGAGGGTCATGTGATCATATTCTGAAAGTTTTTAGGTTCTCTACATAGTCTTAAAATGAACTTCAGTTAGATGGCTTTCTAAATTAATGCTGTCTGTATCCTACTTAATCTACATGTTTCTTATTCATTTGTAAGAGTGCTTCTTATCCGTCTTCAGAGAGAAAATTGATTAACTCTGAGTACAAATTGAAGTATACTTTTTTCACTTTATTTTTCTTGGTTTTTTTGTCCTCACATGGCTAATATGGAAATGAGTTTTGCATGACTTCGTATGTATAATTGATATCAGACTGCTTGCCTTCTAAATACATGGGAGTGAGGATGGAAGGAGAGAGAGAGTTTGGGACTGAAAAAAATTTTAAATGAATATCAAAATAAATAAATAAAGCATATTTTTTTTAAAGAGTGGTTCTTATTTTTTCCCAGTTTCTTGACCTTTGGCCAGACAATGCACTCTGACAGGTCATCACTATGCAGAAGAAAGGAATGACTAGAATTAAGATAAGGAATTTTATTTTTTGGTGGAGCACCAATGAAAATCATACTTGTTCTTTTTTTTAAAGTTGAGATAAGAACTGTATTAATTTGTTTCAGTAGCAAAAATGTTGATGTTATTATGTTATAAGCATCACTGACATAAAACACCAATGTGTGGACCATCTTTGGATACTCATGGACTATCTCAAAACTATACTTTGAAAATTACTATTTATTTGATGCACCATTTGTAAAAATAAATCATTCTTGAAAATGTATGTTTTATGAGATTACTAACCACATTTCCCTTGTAAATGGCTATATTTGTGGTCTTCAATTTTGTCTTTTTTGTAATATATGTTCTTTTGAAAGAGAATTATTATGCCCATACTCATACATTTTATCTTTTAAGAATCTTGAGATTCTTGTATGATGACAAAATGCAAAAATATTTTTGTTTGTTAACATACTTATTATTATATTATACATTAGCATTTTAAAATATTTACAGTATTCAAAAATCATTTGTACCTTTAAAATATTTTCTACCTTTTGGGTCCATGGTAACCACAACTTGCTCACTGGTGACTTCTCTGATTTTTTGTAACTTATGTTTGCCCTGCACGATATATAAGAAAATTGTATTCCTATAGAGGTTGCTTTATTAAATTTTGCAATTTAGAATTTGCCATTATATATAAATATTGCAGACCTCAAAGCCATTTATATTCTGTTCCTTAATTTCATAGCATAACTGGGAGTAAAGTAGTGTAATGAGAAAAGAACAGATCGAACCTGTACTTAGGAGAACTTGGGTTCAAATCCTGCCTCTGTCAATTATTAGTTGTGTGATCATGAGAATTTAACTTACAGCCTCAATTTCAGGTTATTCATCTTTAAAATGGAGGCAATAATATTGAATTCATAAGGTTGTTATGAGGATCAAATGAGATGATGTACATAAGCCAAATTGCAAACCTTTAAGTATTATATAAATGTCATTTACTTTTTTAAGTATAGTCTCAAGTAGTCCACGAGCATCCAAAGTTGCTCCACAGATTGGTGTCTTGTGTCAATGATGCCTATAGCATAACATCTGTATTTTTGCTACTGACATAAATTAATGCTGTTCTTATACCAGTTAACATTTTAAAAAATTGTATAACCCCCTAAGAAAAGTTAGTGGCTATTTGAGTTGGGTGCTAACATACAAAGAGGATCACTCTACATTCTTTTCATCTCTGACTTTTTTTAGGTGTCTAGACCAGTCTTAAATCAACTATTCAATTACCATTGAAAAGTACAGGATCTAATAATAACAAAGATAACAATAATGGTAATAATAATAAAAGCCAGCATTTATATAAATGCTTTAAGTTTCATAAAGTTTCAAAGAGTATCTCATTTTATCCTCACAAAGACCTTGAGAAGAAGTCTTTACTATTAATGCCATTTTATGGAAAAGAAAACTTAAATGACTTATTTGCCCAGAGTCACACAGCAAGTAAGTGTCTGAAGTAAGTTTTAAAATCAAATCTCCTTATTCCAAGTACTCTGTCATCTGATTGCCTCAAAAGATTGCCTACTAAATACACTCCATAACCTAGGCAATTTCCATTTCGTTTTTCTACTTTGTTTTTCCTCTCTGAATGATCAAATCTTTGGAGTTGCTATGGATCTCATCTAGCGTATTCTATAGTAAGTATCGTGGGTCATGGCACAATCCATGCAATTTCAGCCAAAAATAGGAGCATCTGGAAGACATCATCATCTCTTGTTTAAAAGCTGTTCAAAATGTCCTTCCTGATTGTGATTAACACTTTTGGTGACTATGTAGCTCACAGTTTTATGCCTCACTTGATACTAACAGAGAATTATTGAACAAAACTCTCTTTTGTTTACATTTCTCAAAGAAACAACCAATTTTAACACATACATAGGATACATGTTCTAGTAAGGGAAAATTTAGGATGCCTTTTTGTTCTACTAAATCAAATTCTTGTTTAATAACCAACAAAAATAAATACTGAAGTCCCTCCAACCCCAAATCTTTGATTCTACAATCAGATCCTCTATTCTAGTCATCTTTTAGTCAATTGTGTTATTTTGAAGATGTGGTCTGCAATAGAAACTGATAGATAAAATCTTGCTCATTCCTTTCATATATACACATGTATACATACATACACACATATGTATACTTACATGTATACATTTATGTGTGTGTGTGTATAATCAGAGATAACCAAGATACCAGGAACATGTAGTCTAAAATATTTTATGGTAGTGAGAAAGTAGGCACATGGATCGATCATTAATGATGTCTATTTGATTATCATTTTGGAAGTAACAGTATTGCCCGTACTTTTTTTTCCATTCTTGTTGTCTTCCTTTCTTTATGAAGGTTTAAATCTGTTTTCAAAACTCTGGCTTCCCATATAGGCTTCTTTTATGCATATTTTAAACTGTCTAATTGTTCTTCCTATCTTTTTCATGCCTACTTCCTTTTATATTGTACATTGGTTTCCTATGTGTTAAAGTCTACATGTGATTATTCTGCTGTCATCATAAATTATAATAAATCACAGTAAATTGCTTTGAAACTTGTTTTATTTTAAATAAATTTATTTTCTACCAGTTTATACTAAAAGTGCTCTTGGGAAGATTCAATTTAATTGTGTCTCATGCTAAATTTTCTTTTCTCTCTCCATAGTTTTTTGCTGTTTTGTATTAGTAAGTTTTCACAAATCTTCCATAATGTTCTGCAAATGAGCTTGTACTTTAATTTGGTGCTTTCTCTTGCTTCCATATGTCTTTATTTTGTAAGAGGAATAAATGAATGCTGGCTGGGGTGGCTTCTGAGTAATCTTGGCCTATTCATTATGGTGCTTTTTTATATTAGTTAACTTCTTCAAAGAAATGGTGATAACCAGGATGACTATCTTATCTTTAATCCATTTCCCATTTTTGATCAATAGTATATTTATATATGTCAAAATGGAGCTGATATAATTTACACAGAAGTTCTGGGTTTGTTTTTTTTTTCAAACTTAATGCTGGTTTTTACTTCTACTCTAAAATGTTGGTGGTCTAACAGCAAACAGACAGCTGATTCTGGAATGATACCTAGATTTTTGCAAATTCTTTCTATTGTATCAACATGAAATTAATCTGACTTTTGCTGCTGATTATATTTTTTGGTGCTTATCATACCCAATGCCTTCCAACTAAATTTTTAAATAAAGTAATCCTGACATACAGGTTTGGGGCTACTCAAAAGCCTTCCACCTTGGGATCATATTTTTGCTACATATTGTTAACCATGATCCCTCCTTTGCATTTAAGCCAACAACTATTATGGTATAAGTTAATTTGTCTAGAAGATCTTGTTGAGTTTTTCATAGAAATTCATAGAATATATCTACTTTATTTTCTGCAACATAGGCTGACATATACCACCTTGCTTACAGTCAACATGAGCACTGAGCTTGAGATGATTAAGCATCCCATGAAACGACTTTTCTTGTTGTCTCTGAATGCTCAATGAAACCAACTCACGTAACTCCTTTAACCGCAACTCCAAGGAGGACCTATGAGTAGTCCTTTAATTTGGTTACAATTTCATTTGGTATTCTGGTTTTATTTATAGCAAGAATATATGTGTATACATATGCTATACATACATGTAATATACATTGTATGTGATATGTATTCATATGTATATATGGGTATATGTGTGTATATATACATATCCATATATGCATATATGGATATGTATGTGTATACATACATGTGTGTATTGTGTACATATGTATATGTGTATATAGTCAGTTAATAATAAGCATTTATTGATCACTTACTGTACTAAATGCTGGGGATACAAAAAAGGGCAAAAAATAGTCTCTACCCTCAAAGAACTTACAGTCAAATAGGGGAGACCAAGCAAATAATTCAGTACACACAAGATATATACAATAAAGAGGGTAGGTAAATGCAGAGGTGAAAGCACCAAGAAAGTCTTCCTGCAGAAGGCAGAATATGAACTAAGTACTGAAGAAGGCCAAAGAAACTAAAAGGTAGAGATAAGTAGGCAGAGCATTTCAGGCATAAGAGACAGCTAGTACAGAGGCAAGGAAATGGAGTATGGTGTGTGAGAAACATTAAGTGTAGCTGGGTCATCATGTATATAGAACAGGAAAAAGTATAAGAAGACTGAGAAGGTAGAAAGGGTCCAAGTAGTGAAGATGCCAAACTTTATATTGGGTTCTGGAGGCAAAAAGAAACCACTGGAGTTTAGTGAGTAGGTAAATGACATACTTTAGCCTGTGCTTTAGAAAAAAATACTTTGACAGCTGAATGGATAATGAACTGGGGAAGTGTTAAGGAGAAAAGATCTGAGTGGGGAATTTGAGGCAAGGAGCGGTGAAAGACTTGAGGTAGGGAAAACAATTGGAAGACTATTACAGTAATTCAAATTTAGTCAACCAATGTGATATTTGAGTGACCAGAGAGGAGACATACATAGGATTTGCTATTAAGGTAGAAATGGCAAGTTTGGGCAAGGTATTCAATATGTAGGATGAGTAAGAGTGGGTAGTTTAATGTGAAACTTAAGGATGGTGGTGCCCTCAACAATAATAGGAAAGTTCAGAAGATGGAAGTTGTTTGATGAAAGATGAACAAATTCTGTTTTGGACATGTTGAATGCCTATAAGTTCAAAATACTCAGTTGGTAATATAAGAGTAGAGCTCAAAGGAGAGATTAGGCCTAGATATATAGACCTGGGAATGATATACATGGAGATGACAATTAACTCCAGCATGGGATTTGATAAGATCACCAAGTAAAATAGTATAAAGCAAAAAGAAAAGAGGACCCAGGAAAAACCAATTCAATTCAACAAGCATTTATTAGGTACAGATTATATGCCTTGGTTTAATAAGAAAGAAATAAAAGCAGTCCCTGTGGTCAAGGAGTTTCCATTTTACTTGAAGAAAGAAATGGAAACATAGCTATTGCAATTAAATGTAAAAATATATCATAAGGAATCAGGAAAGACCTTATAGGATGTGAAAGTAGTGAAATGCAGCAAGAGGTAGAGGTGAAGTGAGAGAGGAATCCAGGAAGGAATGACAGAATGACAGGTTGTACAGGGGCCTGGAGGTGGGTTTTCATGGGACATAGAGTCCATTACAACAGCAACCTCAAATATTAGTTGCAGACATATTGTGAGGGATTTTAAATGCCCTAAAGAGCAGTTTCTATTTGATTCAAGAAGCAATAGAGAGTAGTTGAAGGTTTTTCAGCATGAGAATAACATGGCCAAACTTGAACTATTACAATATAAATTCAAGACCTGTGTGGAGAATGGAGTGAAGAAGGCAGAGAATGGATACATAGATGCAGTTAGGAGGCCATTATCATAGTCTAAACAAGACGAGATGAAGGTTTTAGGTAGGGTTGTGATTACTTCCTCAATTTTTTGGTCATAATGATAGCAGACATTTTAATAGCACTTTAGAATTTACAGAGCACTTTATATTGTGGTTTGTCTTTCATTCTCAAAGAGGACTATGACATCAGGAAGATGATAACATGACTTGCAATTGAATGGGATTTGAGTAAGGGAGTACTGTGCAAAGTTACCAGCCTTACTTTTTCCTCCAGAGCCATCTAGGTCCAGTGGCCAGATATAGATCAGGACTACTGAAGATGGCCCAGGATGCAGTGGGAGACCTTGGCCTTCTTAAGCTAATGTCTATCTGAGTTTCATTTAAACCCTAAGAAAAGTCCTGTGAGGTAGGTACCATAGCTATTATTATTCAGAAACTGAAGCTCAGAGAGTTTTGTGATTTGCCCATAGTAATACTGTTAGTGTCAGAGGTGGAAAATGAATTTAGGACTTCCTGTCTCTAAATCCAACACTTTAGCCACTACCTAGGGTGATTCTTAGAAAGCAGACACAATCCACTATATGGACCATATTTAAAGCCTTTTTAGCTTGGTAGAATCAACCAAAGCTTGAATTTTTCTGACCAATCCTTCAGGATTGAGGGATCACATCTATACCATGAGACATTAGAGCAGGGCTTTTGTGGAGGTATATACCGATTAGTTATAATAAATATAACTAGGAAAAATATTGCAAAGTTGCTATTAAATACCAGTGAGTCTATTGAACATGGGCAATGTTTGAAAATATACTTAGCCCACATCTCTTTTTGTATCTTTTTCCTAGCTAAAAAAGGGAACATTCAATTGTCATTCAACTAGTTCTGATCTACACAGATTTGCATTCAATAAATATTTATTGAACAAGCGAAGGAGGCAAATTACCATGCCTGTGTCTGGATACTGTGACTGGCGCTTCATTCATTCAGTATTAACTCACATTTACTGCATTCCTACTATTTTCAAAGTATTTGTCTATGGGGGGAAAAGTCCTAAGAAATATTTTCAAAAGACAACTTAAAGAAATTAAAAATTTCATTTTTCACTAATTTTTAAACTGACCATTCTTGCCTTTAAAGAATTTATAAACAACTAGGAAGAGATGAAAAGAAAACAAATTAGTTTTTTGAATCATTCATACATTTTATGAATTTATCTCAATACTGTATCCACTTTTCTCTATAGGAAAATTCTCCTTTCCATTTCTTAGACTACATAAAAGCTCCTCTACATAAGGCTGCCTGAGTGAGTCTTTCACATCAAGAGTGTCAGAGTGTACACGAAGGTCAAATGAGCACGAATATAATACTCTCCAGTTTAAGAGATTTTGATCAAATAAAACTGACAAATATAGTTATAAAATAATAATAAAATATTGTAATTGTTCTCTATTACTATCATTTAAATTTAGACATGGTTTAATCTTGAACATTAGCTTTTAAGAAATTCATAGTATTATTGCAGCAATTCTAAATTACAAACATGTTTTAATTAAAATTACCCCCAAAACCACCAGCACAAAATGTAATGGTGAAAAAAGATAAAATTTAAAAATACTGTTAATATATGTTAAATTTAATACTCATTATGGTGTTTTGATTATAATTTTGCACTTACCCACTCTGCAATTTTCTATCACATTAAAAGTAATCATATCTTCAAAACATGGGGCATTATCATTGTCATCTTCAACTTTGATCAGAAGTGGGAGTGGCAGATCTGTTGAGTAACCATCTGGTGTTGTTGCATAACCAGTTATCTACAATATAGAGAAGAGCCCCCAGAAACTCCTTAACATAATATAAGCTATGTATATTGTCAAATACAGTGAATGAGAATTAAGAAAGCAACAATTTCTTTTAAGCCTGATATGATAACACAAAATATATAGAACCCAAGATTAATACGGTAACCAAGATGCATCCACATTGTTCTCTTTAGATGACTCCTCCTTTTTCCTCCTTATCTCTATGTCTTCTGAATTTCATTTATGAGGGCTTTCCACCCCTTCTGAGCTTCCTTCTTCCACAAAATTTTAAGTCAAAAGATCCTACCTATCCTTTGATGGAACCCAAGCCTGTTTACTGTTCTCACAAAACACTCAACTCCTGACCCCATGCATTTTCACTGTTGGTCCACGCTACCAAAATCCTCTCACTAATCATCTCCATCTCTAATCTCACCTAAAATCCCACCTGCTGCAAGAAACATTTCCCAATGCTTTTTAATGCTAGTAACTTCACTGTGAGATCACCTCCAAAGTCCTGTCTATATCTATATCTATATTTTCCACCACCACCCTGATTTGATTGTGACCTCCTTAAGGACAAGGAAGGTTTTTACTTTTCTCTGTATCCATAGTACATAATAGGAATTTAATAAAAGCTTTTTAAAATGACATTCAAATCTGTTCTCTAAAATCTAGGTCAGTCGATGTCTGGCTTTCCTCTCTATCACAAATTCTGAAATATAATAAACATATCCCTCCAAGTTTAAAATTTGTATCTCAGTAGCCATAGATTTATTTTTGGGCACAAGCAGGTCTCAACTAGCAATTTTCTTAGTGGTTTCATCCATCTTTTGAAGGATGAAATTATTACTATGACAAGCTAATAAATTATTAGCTGTTGTTCCTTTGGCAGAGAGAGGAACAGCAGATGTCCAGATAACAGAAGTTCTCCATCATTACTACACCATGTCTCTGCGCCAAGCTTGTGATGTGTTTCGTATATCCATATATATTCATATGTGGTCTTTCTGTTCAGGTAATCTGTAGTTTTCCTACAGGACAATATTTCTAGTTTCTTCTTTCATTGATCTTGATCCCAGTGCCCTCCACTAATTGTGTCACATGATTATACCTTCCTAATATGTACTGCTATTCTGCTACTACTTCCTTTCATCCTTTTGAGTAAGACTTACCATAGTCAAGTTATGGGTGACTCATGTCATTAGGCATTTTAATTGAGCTCTCTGGTTCACCTTCCTTTTTAAAAATATTACATGCATTTGTATTTCGATGTTTGAACTATGCATTTTATTACCGACTCTTTTTTTCTTTAGTCATACTAAGCATCTTCCCTTCTTCCCACATTGTAGCTATTTTCTAGATATACCTTGCAGACAGTTTTCTCCTTCCTTTTTTATTTAAATCTCCTTTGAGTTATTTTTTCAAAAGTCTAGCAAATTAATTTTTTCAAATCAACCCTTATTAGGTACACTCTATCCCTGGCCAAACTCATCATTCCTATGTTTTAAGTGGTAGTCCAAAATCCAAATCCTATCACCATCTACTTTCTTAAACAGATAATCATATCTCAAATCTATGACTCTGTTCTGCCACTTGCCAAAGTCAACCACATTCCACAATGTCACACACATTTACAAGGAAAACATTCACTAGTATTTTTACTAGTCCCATGGATCTCTTCTTGCAAGGACACACTAATTGGGGGAGCTTAATAGTTAAAACGTTTAATAGAATTTAATAACAGCAGGCATATGATATTTATTTTGTAGAATTATTTAAAATCATTTAAATTATTTTATATTTTGAGATTATCTTTCCTAGCAGACAAAACATGGTCCTTCAACAACTTTAGATCATATGCTTATACATGTATACATACATATATAGGTAAATATTCAAACCCAATTCAAATTACTTATGTTTCTCCTGTGCTTTCTATCACCCTAGATATAAAAATGGGAGAAGCATAGCAAGCAAAGTGTAGCAGGGTAGTATGTGGTTTGGTGTTTTCTTGGTGCAGGATGTGACTTTATGAAGCTTATGGAATTTTGTGCATATTTCTCATTCCATCCTCAGAAAAACCATGTGATGTTGGTAGATCAGATATTGTTATTAAAGCATATCTTCTACTCTCTTCTTTTTATATGAAGTGATTTAAATATCAAATTTATTTAAAAAATGTTATGACTATTACTAGAAATTCATTACTCAAAATGAACAAAAAAAAAAGAAATTATTCTGCTTAATTTGTCTTTTGGAAATATTTCCAAGGACTTTTTCCCTATTAGAAAGCAAGTTTTTGAATGTGTTTCAAAATCGATACTGGTGTAGGCTCAAAGTAGTTAATTAGTGTTTAAATAATGATTGTGAAACAGGAAAATGCTTGCTCCCCTCTCTTCTCCATTTATAATAATGAGAGAAGTTTGATATTTTCCCACTAAATATATTTAAAAGAGTAAAATAAATATTTGACTTATAGTAAAATATAATATAATAGTAAAAATGAAGGTCTTTAAATGTTACTATTTCTAAATCTTAAGTACTAAAGCACTAAAACAGAAAATAATTCAGTATAACCAATTCAGGATTCTACCAGAAAGCTGTCATATGTCTCACGATCTACAGCACGTGTACAAAAGATATCCCCTGTGTCTCTCTCAATGTAGAATAAATTGAAGGGCTCCTTATCTACTCCAGGTCCACTTATCGAATAATAGATGGTGTAGTTTTGTGCAGAATCAGACTGGATCTAGAAAGTTTAAAAAAAAAAAAAGATTGTATAAGGCAAGGGTCATAATACAAAGCTATATGTCCAAATGTCTTAGAATTTAGTGCTGTTTCTGACCACTCTCCTTTCTTTGCTGTGTATGTTCTCTGACCCAGTTCCAACTCTTTCCCAACTGCTCGTTTGTGTGCATAATTAAGACACACAGAATCATAGAAACTTAGAGCTCCAAGAAGATTTCTGTAGATATGCTCTTGTTCACCTCCCCCACCTTATTTTACATGTCAGGAAACTCATGTCACAGTATTTTGCCCAAGGTTACATATAAGGGGGCTACAGCCCACATCGAGCCCATAATACCTGACTCCGAGTTCATTGTTTCCTTCCACTACCTCACAGTGCTTTCTAGTTTTTCAAGGTCCAGAGAGAATTGCCTGCCATGCACCAAGCTATCTATGTCTTTACTCACTTCTTAAATCATTCATCTTTTTGAGTTTATCTCACCAATTCTAGTCCTTATGCTAAGATGAAAAATTACCAGGCTACTTTACAATCACCCAAGATCACCTTATAATCTACTCTGCCACTGCCTTCTAACATCCTCCAGGCCTTATCATCTCCCAGACTCTACATACTCCAGACTCTGGGGCACTGCCATCTAACCTGCTGGTGTAACCTCAGGACTCTTGGACCTTACCACTCATCCCACCGCTGCACCTTTAGGGCTTCCAGGCCTTCCTATCCAACCTACAGGATGAATTTTCTTTAATATGTTTTCTCCTTCAATTAGAATATAAGCTCCTTGAGAGAAGAGACTGTCTTAATTTTTTAAAAAATATTTGTATCCCGCAGTTAATAGCACAATGTTTGGCATGTACTAAGTGCTTAATAAATGCTTTTCCATTCATTTATCAACTCATAGATAATGCCTTTTCTTATTTCTTTTACTATAATACATCCAGATGTATCATATTGTGTGATTCAGCCGGAAATGAAGTATGTGGTTTAACAGAAGACTTCTTTAGGGTAATATAAAATTTTAAGTGCCCTTACCTGTTGAATTTGTTGTGGAAATGGACCTAATGAGTTTTCCATTATTGAACATGGAATTGGAGCCCATCTTCTTTTGGTTCTCTTAAGAGCTCTGTCTTTTGTATGTCTTTTCATAGGTATCTGAATATGGTAGAAGGCCAAAAAAAGATATCATAGATCATAAACACATAGATCAAAATTTTACAGTTATGAACGTAAAGTGAAATTAAGAAAGTCATCATATGGCATAAAGCAAACATAGTATGTTCTTGATTTGAGAAGAGAAAGATACATATTTAGTGACATGCATATATGCACACAAATACAGAGAAATGTTCAGATCAATACTTTCAGCTCTTTCTTACTTCCTTCTTCTGTACCTTCCTAGTTTCCATGTCCAGCCCCAACCTCACCCTGGGTCACCCCTACTCTTGATGAATCAAACTTATTGGTCAGTCATAAAAGAGATTTTGGACAGCCGTGGGAAATCCGCAAACCAAATGATTCATTGAGAGACGATCAAAAATACTACAATTTGAAGTGATATAATACTAAGCACTAACATGTGTGTGTATGTGTACATATGCAAGGGGTCTTAAAAGCTTTAATGGCTTAAAACTACTCTAGGATTTTTGGGATTCCCTGCATGAACATACACATACATATGCCAAAGCTTTTACTATAGGAACACTTTCCTTTACACACATATGTGTATACACACATAAATGTGTTCTGGAAAATGTATAATCCGAATTCTTATAAATTAAATCAGAAAATGTGATGTAGCCAAGAGAGCACAAACTTGAAGTCAGGAGACCTGAGTTCAAATCTTGGCTCATGTATTCACTAACTGTGTGATCATAGCTAAGTTACATTATTTCTTGGAGCCACAATTTCTATATCTGTAAAATAGAAGTAATAATCCTCACAGTATCACCCTCCTAGGAATCTGAAGAAAGCATTTTGTACACCTTAAAAGACTGTATGTATGTGTGCATATGTGTACAAATAGAATATATATGTATATGTATGAATTATTGTACTTAAAATGAACTAGGCCTGCTACTTAGAAAAACTTGATTGTAAATCCTTTTCATTTTATGCTGTAGCTATTTAATTATTTTTTTTCGTAAATCAAAATGTTCATATTGAACTTGTATCTAACAACAGCTTGGAGGATGTTTGTTTTAAATAGACAAAACAATACACAAAAATACTTCAAGTTTTTATCCATTGTACCTTCTTTTCTGCGGCTAACAGTACAATCTCTATCTTTTTTTCTTCCTGTTTCTGAGAGTCTGAGAGCAAAATAGCAAAGGTTGTTTCCTCAGAAGACAACTCAACGTTTTTTGTTGTATACACTGAACCATCTTCCAGAATTCTGAAGTCAGGATCACTTGAATGGATGAGGTCAGCAGATTTAAGACACTCCTCTAGATTAACTGCATGGGAGAAATTCGATAGGGATTTGAAAGATGCAAACAAAAAGAGAACATGTTTTACAGGAATGACAGCTGCTTGTTACAGCATGATAAGGGTAGGAATGAACTTAACTATATTTGAATTATGAGTGTCTCTTTTTCAAACTAATTCAATTCCATTCCACAAACATTTATTAAATGCCTACTAGCTGCAAGACACTGTGCTACAAGTCAAGAATACTAAGGGAAAAAAAAAGAAGGTCCAGCCAATAAGAAATTTTTATTCTACTAGAGGAATATACAAGTTACACAAGTGGGTAAATGCAAAGGTTATACAGAGCAATCTCAAGAGTGAGAGAGACAGTGATAATAACTAGGCTGATGCCAGCAAAGCTTAGAGAGTCTTACATTGATTTTGTGTCATAATTTTGTAATAATTAAACCTACTATATTTAATTCACTTTGGTTATATTATTGAAAATATACCGTGAACAAAGATTTAACAGTCTTTTCCTTCCAAACACCAGAATTTTGTTTTGTTTTGACCAATGGAAATGAATGTGAACACAGAAAAAAATAGAATTTTACTTCTGACTTTAGAATCAGCTTCTAACTTGCCAGATCACATTCTTCTATCATTGGTATTAAGTCATTTGATACTATCTAAAGATCTATTTATAAAAATACTGGATTTTAAAAAAAACAGGATTAGGAGATGCTGGAGCCAATCAAAAAAGCAGTCATTAATTTCTTCCCACCATGAGCAAAATACAGTGTGAGGTACTGGACTTAGAAAGACAAAATCACCTGTCTCCCAATAGGGCGTGCAATTTTTTTTTCCTTCATATTTTTTGACTACATTCATTAACTTGCATGTTTCTTCTTTTTCAAGCAAAATTTCTTTTAGATGTTCACTTGTATTTCAGCCTTTCATATGTAAGACATTCTTAAAATAGTCATAAACTTTATGCTTTCAATAGGACAATTTTCTCCCCATATAACAAGTAAAAATATAGCTCCATGTCTAAAGACAAAATGCTAAGTCCTCATAAGAGAGTACCAATGTCCACTTTTTTTCAAACAGAATTCATATTTGCACAATTTCATTTTTCTTGTGACAATATGGGAGTTTATATGTGTTCATACCATTTGCCCTTTGGATCTTAAAATCTGTATTATGTCTATATAAATCTACATAAAATCTATATATCATAGACTCATAGATTTAGAATGGGAAGGAACCTCAGAGCTTTTCTAGTACAATTTCCTCATTTTACAATGAAGACATTGAGGCCCAGAGAAGCTGAACCTTGCCCAAGATCATCCAGGCTAGGAAATCACAGTCAGGATCTGAACAGCTCAAATCTGTTGACTGTAGATCCAGCTCTCTCTCCACTGCAAAACTCAAATGAAGTCAGTCCATTATGTAGTATTATTAAAAGTTTGTTTTAGGTATTTTTTTGTAGTTTTACAACTATATAGCAAGTAGATTGGAAAGTCTGGTTGAAAAAATGAGGAAAAGTTGATCAAGCAAAAGTAAATTATATGTATTTCCTTAATAATATGATAAATGCTGTCTGTAGTAGCATTAAGAAATCTGCAATGCATTCTTTTAAAAAGACTGAAAACTTCTTCATAATAGTCTTCAATTGAGGTCATTGTATACCTCCTAGCATACCACCTAGCTATATATACAGGTAACTAAAATAAAATATTTTTATCATTAAAATAATTAAAGTTATGTAACAATGTGCTTATTTGGAGGGAGTGCAGGCAAATGTGGACACCACTATAAAAATGCTCAGAAGATTCTTCTTATGTTGAGGTAAGGTCAATTCTCTGGGCAGCAGGGCCAACCCTTATAGGAATATTTTCAGAATTCCTTTTCCTTATATGGACTCATAAGGCTTAGAACCTAAAGGGATTCTGAAAAGTATTTAATTTAACCTACTCATTTTATAATGAAGAAACTGAGGACCAGAAGTGTTAAAATAATTTGCCCAAGGTCCTATAGCTTTTAAAATTTAAGATGAAACTAAGACTTTTGGGACACCCTGTATTCAGGGGCATATTTCTGAATAAAGAGTAAAGATCAGTGAGAAACCTAGATGAACTATCATAGTAGAGAGTGAGCTAGATTTGGAGTCAGAGGACCTGGGTTTAAATCATGGATCTGCTGTTATCTCTTCCATGACCTTGGGTAAACTGTTTAACCTCTCTGTGCCTGTTTCCTCATCTATAATTTGAAAGGGTTGGACAAGATGATTTCTAAGGTCCCTTCCCACTATAAATGTATGCTCCTTATGACTCTTAGCTACAAAGTGTGAGGTACATCTACCTCATAAACCAGTAGTGATAATGGTTATTGTTATGAGAAAAATAGCTCACATGCTAGCTTGGAATCTTGGTATTTCCTATCAATAGCTAGTGATTTAGAGAACCATGACTTGGGAACTTCAGAAGCAGTTTAGCTCCTTGAGGGAAGGCACAGTGTTTCACTTCTTCTTTGTACACCTGAAGCCAACCTTAGTGAATTGCATATAGAAAGTTTTTTAAAAGATTTGCTGACCTGAATTGAATTAAATTAATATGGAAGAGATTTAGCTTCACCAGTTCTGAAGAAATGAACTTCAGTCATTTTAAATCTGTTGTGTGTTCCCTCATTTCTCTTGAATGAAAAGAAAGAAAGCATACTCTGGGATTTCAGATATCCCTAACCACTACAACAAACTAGGTTGTCTGCTCATCATTAAAGGCCAAATTTTAAATAGGGCAGTTACTACCTGGCTTTCATCCCAGCTCTTAGAAAAGCCTTAAGCAAAATGTAGAAAATTACAACTTTGAAAGTCTTACAACATTTTTTCTCACCTCTGCCTACAAATGTGTCAGCCTGAAGATGAGAGGGGACTTTAAGAACGACTTTCTTACAAGCATCACAAAAGAAACACAGAACCTACAAAGAAAAAAAAATGCTTTAAGGGGAATTACATATCATCCTAGCATTTTGCATGTTACTGGCATGTCATAAGAAATGTTTGTTTCTTACTACAATCAAAGTTTGAATCTTTAAGAATGAACCTTGAACAATTCCCTTGAAAGACTCAGAAAAATGACTTTAGAGATTTTGAATTAAAAGGAAGGAGAACATTAGCCTCATGAAACCAAAATTCAACTTTTAATCATTCATATAGATTCATATATTAATATGTAATATTAAAGTTGAAATAAAATGTGAAAATCAAAATAATATAAAATTAATAAATTCATATAAATAAAAATACTCATTTCTTAATTCCTCAGTTCCTCATCTTTATGGTCAAATAATTTATTAAAATAATCACATATTTCATTCTAATTTCTAGCATAGCATAAGTACTTAATTTATTTCACTGGAGGTTGTCAAAAAAGGAGTTCTATTCTTGCCCTGACTCCAAACTGAGGAGTGGATAAGCAATCAAAAGAATTCAAGAAGTGAAGGGTTATTTTGTTATTTCATACAGCTACTACTGAAAGTCAGCATAAAATTCAGGGGCCTCATATCTTTCAACTTATTACGTAGTTCTAGTTGTTTCCTTTGGGGTCTACTCCATATGGGTATATATACACACACCCACATGTGTGTGTACATGCATGCGCATGAGAGAGAGAGAGAGAGAGAGAGAGAGAGAGTTAGCTATTCTGCAAGGATCACTTTGCAATTTGTCAAATAGAAAAGTTCCTAGCAAAGTTGGAATGCCCACGGAATAACATGTCATATTTCTCATAATTCTTCATTTGCAGCAATGACTTTTTTCTTTTTGGTTAGTAAGAGAGAATAAAACCTCATGAACAGATTAAACCACTTTGAAGTTTTGTGAAAACCCTCAAGTGAAGCTGAAACTACCCAAACCAGGAACGAAAGGGGAAAAAAGCCATATTTGGCACTCCTCTCATCATGGATAGCTTTAGACACAGGAAATAGTCTCATCTGTTTGACTGTTTTAAGTCTTCTTTCCTCAAGTCAATGAATGGTCTAAAATGACTTCTTAGGGTTAATTTAGTCCTGTGCTTTTAAGAAAACATTCTAATAAATAGTGGTCTAAATACTATTGTGTGTACATAGTAATGTCATCCTGATCTTGATTCTTAGGTGCCATGTGTACATAGTAATATCATCCTGATCTTGATTCTTAGAAAATCAGCTAAGTCCTATTCATTTTATATATCCATATGTGGGCACAGATGTGTGTTGTATTAACTCCCACTCTTTTACTCCTTTCTTTCTGCCCACTCACACCTATAGAACATTACAGATAGAACCAGTGTGCACTATTGATGCCTACAAGTTTAAGCAGGGGCCAAGAAATGTAAAGGGAGGGAACAGGTGTCAGGAAGTGAAACAGGTGTATCATAGATAAGGCTTCTTGCATCCCTATAGGGTATTGGTGATAGTGGAGTGGGAAATAAAAGGGATATGGAAATAGAATAAAGAGATAACAATGTAGAGCTCCTGGAAAAGAATTCTCCAACACTTGTCGTTGTTCCTGACATCACCCAAGTGGTCATATTCCTCTTTAGAAATCACTTTTAGGCTATCATTAGAGCCAGAGTGGGTCAAGAGAACGACTAACAAGGGTAAAATGAATGCATTTGTAAGGAGACCTTTACCTAGCACATCCATCCTGCATGTCTTATGCTTCTTTGGTGGATTAGTGAAGCCCAACCCCATAAAAATGTATTTTAGGGCTGGTTGACCTAATAGCCTTGAATAAAGGAGGGAATTGAATATAATGGAAGAGAGATGTAGCATCTTTAAAAAAAATACATATACAGGCCCAGTAAAGCAGGGTCAATTTGACAAGATCCTCCCCCACATCCCTCCCAACTTTCCCATCTTCCACTTTTCTTTTTCTTTTTTTCTTTTCTTTTCTCTTCTCTTTTCTTTTCTTTTTCTTTTTTTTTTCCACAAAGCTCTCATGAGAAATCCCTAGATTGGACCTAGAGAACTGGTTTTCTTCCTAGATTTTCACCTTCCTTTTTCTAGGTTAGGGGTTCTTAACTTGGAGTTCATAAACTTTTAAAAAATTATACTCATAACTTTTTAAATAATAAATATAAGTGGTTTCCTTCGTAATCCTAAGTATTTTATGCATTTAAAACATTATTCTAAGAAGAGGCCCACAGGCTTCACCAGACTGCCAAAGTCCATGATACAAAGAAGGTTAGGTACCCCTGTTCTTAGTAGTGGAGCCTCAGCTGCCCTTTTCTGCACTTTCCGGGGCTGCGGACTTATCTGTCCCCAGGATTCCTTAGGTGATCAGCAGCCAAAGCAGCTTCTCCCAACCCCAAACTCCTTCTTTCCAAATAGCTTTACACTTTGACACCAGCTCACGCTATTTGGTCGCGTGCCTACGGAAGGATTGTGTTGCACTCACTTTTCTCTGGAGAAAAAAATAAGTCTGCTACTAGGGGAGCAGGGAATTCCCCTAGAGCGGGATGTCTCCTAAGCTGTTTAGTTGGGCGTTCCGCCTTCCTCCTTTCCCCTTTGTTAGGGTTCAAAGGAAGCGAGCTCCCCACACTAATCCCTGCAGTCCATCATTCCCCTCCTCCTGCCTTCACACCCTCGGGGGCCAGCAGTTCAGAGACAGGAAGAGGCTGCTAATACGCTTGAGTATCCTCGCTAATCCCTCGACTCTTACCAGGAGAGAGAAGAGAAGATGCCTACAGAGGATGCTCCTCAGGGCGCTGCCAGGAGTTGGTGCCATCAGAAGCGTTCCCAATGGTCAGGGAAGGCAGCGGCAAGATGAATCAGGGCGAGCAGGTCCCCAACTGCAGGCCCCTCGCTGGAGGAATATGCTGCCTCCTCTGCACCAGTGGAAAGTCAGGAGAGAAGTGAGGAAGTACAGAAGGAGGAGGAGCAGGAGAATGACTTTTCTTTTCTCTCCCTCTTTCTTTCCCCTCCCAATTCTGTCTACCCCCTCTTGCCAAGGGGTTTTCCCTCAAATGTAGAGGGTGGGGTACCAAATCACCCCAAAAACCAGCCAGTGCTCCTCCTTGCAGCACCTTTCAAAACTTCTGCTACTTGCCACATAGGCAGGAGCAGAAGGGAACACCCTTGGTCCTCAGCTCTCTCCTCCTCCTCCCTACCCCCCAGATTGATGGTATGAAGTCCCTTGCCAGTTATTACCCATTCCTTCTCCCACCCCTTCTCCTCCTCCTTGGCCTTATTAACCTGCTCTGCCCCAGGCAAAGAGACATGGATCATGCAGGGAAGTCAAGTTGGAATCATTCTCTCTTACTCCCTCCCCCCACTTCCCATTGCCATTGGCAAATCAAGGGACATAAACAGGTATGCAATCACCCTCTCATCAGTCTGTTATCTCTTGATCTAAAGCATTTAGGTGTTGCCTTGTCACATATAGCATCGTTGTTCTGGAAGAGATGAAGTCTTCTAGTCTGAAGCAGTTTAGCTCTGTCTATTCTTCAGTATTCTTCCCTTCCATTTAGGATGCCACACAGGACCTTATCCTAAAGGCCTGAGAGAATCTAAGAAGTTATTAAAGCAATAGTCTGTGTCAAGAATGGTCAGGTAGAAACTGGGAGTATCCCTTCTTTTCTTCAATTTTTATTGTTATCGCAAATATATAAATTATTTTTCTTGAACATTGTTTGATAGAGTCTCTTATACAAGGGTAAAAAACTTTAAAAGCATTCTATCCACTTTAGTTGCTTTCAAATCATAGAATTTTAGCAATGAAAGAAACCTAAGCAATTTAGTCAAACCACTTCCTTACAAGGAAATGAAGGCCTAGAGAGGTTAGCCAATATAGATAGTCATGGTTATACAACAATGCTCAGCCCAGAACCCAAATGTCCTGTCCTCTCTTCCATTACAATACTCAGGAACCTGTTAATGTGAAGTAAAACAAAAGATTTCACTAAGTTGAGTGTCTGAAATAGATCATTGATGCAAAACTTTGACATCTTGACATGAAACACTTGCCTAAGCTCAGTGATGTCTATTCTTCATCTCAGAAACAGAAAGCTGATATCATTTCAAATCGTCAAATGCTTTTCCCCCAGAGAAATCAGCAATGATTTATTGCATAAATACTGTGAGGCATAAGAAGAAGAATACGACATGGACCCTGTCTTCAAGAAAGTTATGATCTAGTTGGGAAAACACCATAAACAAGAGATACTTATTTACACTAACTATAGAAACTTGAATGGATCTGTGATTTTATCATCTGGGGGACTTCTTCACCAATGCATATCAAAGCCTTTCTGCTTCATCCCTTTTCATCTGCCACTCCCTTTTTATTATGAATTTAATGAAAGTACACAGAAACTTCTACAAATATAAAGCAGAACGGGGAAAAAATTATGTATGTAACCACAAATTTCTGTTATGCCCAGCTTGCTAAATCTAAAAAATTTTAGATTGTTTTCTAGTTTTCCCAGAAGTCTTTTGTCTCTAATCTTTTTTTTCTTGGGGGGGGCAGAGGTTTTTTTAGGTATTCCAGTGATTCTTAGATAATCTCTTGACTTATTTTCCAAAACAATTGGTTTTGGTGGAAGATAACTTACTTATATTTTCTGATATATGTTCAGTTTTTTCACTTCTCTTTTAGCATCTATTAATTGATTTCTATTCCAAGCTAATTTTCATAGTCTGTTACTTGAGGAGGGCTTTCTGCCTTCTGTATTAAGCTGTTTAATTTTCTTTTCCGTCCTTTAGAATTCTCCCTTATTTTCTTTCCCATTCTTTCTTTTAGAGCTCTTATTTCATTTATATAATCACATCTAGTAAAGTTTATAGCAAACGTAATTTTTTTGAGGCTTTACACACAAATGATGTGAAGTTTTTTTCTTTTCTACTAGCTTTGTGTCTTGATCATCCCTGGATCTATAATATTTCTTTATCACCAGTGTTTTATCCATTTTTCCAGCCTTAATTCCTAAATTGGAACTTAGTGCCAGGGCTGGGCTCTGTCTCCTCCCACAAACTGTCTATGTTTATATATATAGGCAGTAAATAGTCACTACTATCCCACTATAATTCCATACTCTGAGTGTTGGGTTTGCAGGATATTCAAGCAATTGGGGGGGAAATAAGCTTAGGCTAAAATCATAAGTCAGGAAGCAATAAATTATTTAACCCTGTATTTATCACTGAAACTTGGTAGTGTGGGACTCATGACTGGAAAATGACTATGAAAGGGCATGCTTCCATAGATAAGAATGACATAGATAAAAGGGAAGCATAGAGTAACAAATTATATTAAGAAAATATAGTCACATATAAGAAAATCCAGGAATGTGAGAGGAGAAATTTGGTAGAAAGTATTTGGGTAAAGACAGATAGGAGAAAAAAAAAGAGGTGGTGTTATACACGACAGAGAACTTTGACAGAAGGAGAAAGTAGATTAGGAGTTTGTGAAGTATAGCTTACATTTATATCATATTTTGCATATATCATCTCATTTGATCCACATAAGAATCTTGTGACATATGTAACTACAAGCATTATCTTACCTATTTTTACAGAAAATGAAACAGGATCAAAGGACTTAAATGGTCCCATGATCAGGTAGCAGGTAAATGTTATGGGCAGCATTCTAAACTCAGACCTTTCTTGACTTGAGATACAGTGATCTTTCCAGCATACAATGATGCCTCTTAATCACAATCTTACAACAAACCAGCCACAGATCCATGGTATAGTAAAGATGGAAGACTTCAGTTATTCAGACATCTGAAAGAGATTTTTTTTCTGCCCAGGGCAGAGGAGCTAAGAAATTCCTGACTAGCCTTTAAGGCAGAGGACATGATGAGGGAGGTTACTATTCTGACCAGCTAGGAGGAACTAACTGGATGCTGAAGTATAATAAATGAGACATTAGAGCTCATGAAAGATCAGGAGAGGAAAATCCAGCAAGATTTGAAACATTCCCTAGACTTAGAGAGCTCAGATTCAAAAGGTCCATTGAAAGAATCCTATTATTTCATTACCAAAGGTCATATAGGAGAAGTTCACCTAAGAGGACCAGAATGCTCACAAAAATTAAACTCAAATGATTCAAATACAAATAATTCTTATAAAGAAAATAAAAGGAGCTATCTAGATAACTGTCTTACACTTAAAATGTCATGTACACAATATGAAAGCAAGGGCACATGATAAAGGATGGATATGAGTGGTATGATCATATAAGCATAACATTGGGAATATAAAGTTAAAAGCACTGTGGTAGTGATGTTAAGAATAACAAAAGGGATTTGAAAGTTGTTGGGGGTTTTTTAAGTTGTCTTGGGAAAATTAGGAGGATTAAAGAACTGCTGTTTGAAATGGAACAACTATAATAAATGAGAAACAGAGGACAGAACTACCAAACTCTTATTTCATTTCTGATTTCAATGTCAAAGAGAATGTCTACTAGACCAGAAAGTACAGAACAAAGCTGGTTAACAGGGAGTTGAAACCCAAGTAACTCTTAAGACAGAGAACCTCTTTCTATATGTTATACTTACATTCTAATCTATGATCTCCTAGCTATGACTACTCTGTCCAGTGGTTCAGATTGTCCCCCATCTTTGCCTTCTCATCCTGTATAATTGTTGTTTATGTTTTCCCATAATTCTTAGAGGAGCCACTCAAGTCTCTAGAGATTTTTTCTTGAGTGTTTTTATATTCAAGTGTAGCACTCAGACATTCTGCCTCTTATTCCTGCCCCAGCTACATAACTAGGCCACCTTATTTTCGATCATATATTTATTAGAAAATTTACTTTATATCACTTATTGTATGCATGTTATTATTACATAACCATTTCAAGGAGTTATTTTGTCAGCATGCCAATGCGAATTTCAACCCTTGCAATTCTCAATAACTGGTCTTAAAGAGTTACTATGCCTGGAAGACAGTGAGTCCAGTCAATAAACATTAAGCTCCTACTACATGCCAGGCCTTGTGCTAAATACTCTGGATACAAAGACAGGCTGAAGACAATCCTTGCCCTCAAAGAGCTCACAATCTAATGGAGGAGACAACAAGCAAAAACAACAACAAAAAAAAAACACAAAGTGTGCACAAATAAGCTATATGTAGGATAGATAGACTAATGGAGGGAAAACACTAGAATTAAGAGGGATTGGGAAAACTTCCTATAGAATATTAGAATTTTAATTGAAACTTGAAGAAAGCCAGGAATACTAAGAGGTGGAGATGAGGATAGAGAGCATTCCAGGTATGGAGGACAGCCAGAGAAAAGGTCCAGAGCCAAGAAATAAAGTGTGTTATTTGTGGAATAGCAAGGAGATCAATGCTGCTAGTTCAAGGAGTATATGGTGGGAAATAAAGAATAAGACAGCTGGAAATGTGGGGGAAGGCATGTCATAAAGGACTTTGAGCAAAAAACAAGATTATTATTTATTCTGGGGGAATAGGGAGCTACTAAAGTTTACTGTGTAGGAAGGAGCACCTAAATTATTGAAATAATGAGTTATTTGTAATAGGGAAATATTGGAATAAATCAGGCCCGCACAATAATCAGTATGGCCTGCAGCCCACAAAAGAATTTCAGGTGGCCCATGAAAAATGTAGAAGATGTAAATGATAGGCAAGTGGATGTCATCATGGTGCTGGTGAGTTTTAGGCATGCTAGTCCGTTATAAGTTAGTGGGATAATATGGAATGGAGAGAGACTAGAGTCGGGACCAGATAAGAGGCTGTTGCAGAAATCCAGGTGTGAGGTAACAGAGGCACCAGTTAAAGTGCTGACAGAAAAAAATAGAATGGCAAAACCAAAAGAAATTTCGGTGGGGGGCGGGGAATGAAACTTAGAGGCAGAGAAGTGATGTTGAATAGATTTTTAAAAGTTTTAGTGATGGCCTCAGGGTGTCTAGCCTGAAAGACTAAAATAATAGAGATATCAATGGCAGAAATGGAGTCTTTGAGAATGGAACTTGGTTTGGGTGCTTTATGAGTGAGAAAAGACATGAAGCAGAATTCGGTAGAATAATCAGGATTTCAAGATGGGTGAAGAGGAAACATGGCCACAGTGTGGAGTAGGGAATAGTAAGGATCATAGGATCATAGAAATTTAACCTCATAGGGGTAAATAGCACTTTGGCCATACAGGTTTACTTTTCATTCTGTTAGTGCCATTTTTTTAAATGAGTTTTTAGAGTGTGAGTGGTGACTACCTTATAATGCATCAAAACTGTCCAAACATTTAGCATCAAACTCTGAAAACATTTGACACAATAAGTAGGATTTTGGTGGCCATGTGATCTGACTCAGAGATTCATATCTTTATCATGGTAGAGTTGGGAGTCTGGTTATAGTAGTGATGGAGTTCTTAAGTAACATCAACATCTGTCAAAGTCTTTTTCTGCTAAAGCAGAACAGTTAACTAATTACTTACTTCTCTTAATAA